CCCCCCCCCCCCCCCAAAGTGCATTTGTTGGATAAAAGCTTTTATCCACCGCGTTCATAGAGAGCCTTCCTGCGCAGAGCGGCGCTGGGCAGCTCCCAAGGCCAGCTTGGGATTGCGGGACGGAGCGGCACCGCGGGTCTTAAATATTCACAGTGTGAGGGTTTCCCCTTTGCAGGCCTGGCATTGGGTCCTCAGCACCGGTGGGATGCGGGAGGGGGTCCCTCCCCGCCCCCCCTTTCCATGGGTTGCCGTGCCGGACGCAATGGGAAAAACACGGATGGATGGGGGGAGATTTTCCACTCGCAGCTTCGGACGCATCCAACGCCGTCGCCGCGGAGCCCCTCGGTGCCACCACCCCATCGCCAAGGTCCTGCTGGGCTGCACTGCCCCGTCCTTCCGTCCTCATCTGTGGGTTGTGCGGGTTCCAGCTGCGGGACAGGGGTTGGGGGGGTCGTTGCATCGGGGGAAGCCACACAACAGCCGTCCGTCGCCCAGCGAGGAGCGTCCCCGGCCGTCCGTCTGTCCGTCCGTCCGCATCCCCCCCCCCCATCCCCGAGCAGCGTCACATCCCGCCAGGGAGCCCTGGGGAGAGAGGGAGAAAAGTCAATGGGAGATGAGGTTACGGTGGGGGAGAGGTGAGTTAGAAATTAAAAAATAAAATAAAATAGGGGAAAAAATAATAATAATAGACCATGTTTAATAGAGTACTTGAGTACGCATCTAAAAAATCGCGGTTATGAATTAACGGGCTGCTAAACCGCACGCTGGCCGCGTTGTTGAGGCGCAGCCCGGCCGTGTCCCCACCCAGCCCAGCTGGCAGCCCCTCCCCGCCCTAAGATTGGGGTCAGAGCCCCTGGGGATGGGGCCGCCCGCTGGCCCTGCCCCCCTCCCCTCACCTCACAGCTCCTGCGTCTCCAGCTCCGCGCATCCCTGCAGCGCCCTGCGAGGCAAAACCCAGCGGCGGTTATAGGGGTTGGGGTTCCCGGGTTGGGGTGGGCACGGGGGGGTCCCCAGATTCCCCAGCCAAACGCTGGGGCGGCACCCACCTGGTCTCCGGCTCCTCGGGGTCGCGGCTCCTCTCTTCTAGCGGCCGCTGCAGGACCTGCAGGAGGGAGGGGTGAGGATGGGGAGGGGGCTCCCACCTGGAGAAGGAGGTGGGGGAGTCCCCCAAATAACGCCTCCAGCGCCGCTCAGCATCGCCTGCTGTGACGGTGATGCAATGGGGCGGCGCTCAGAAGTCCTTAAACCCTTAAACTTGGGGTACAGCACTGGGAAAGCACTGAGAGATGAGAGGGAAAACCGAGGCAGGGATGGGCGGCCGGGGAAGGGCTCACCTTGGATTTATACTTGTAGAAAAGCAGCCCGCCCATGGCCAGCAAGACGGCCACGACGCTGGCCACCGTGACGTACACCAGGAGCTCCCGGTGGCTCTCGCTGGCGGCCGGCGGCTCCTTCCTGCGCTGCTCTGCGCTCAGAACAAAGCTCGAATCAAAGCTGGGTCCGGCCCCGCCGTCCTCGGGCTCCCGCAGCCGGCTCAGCCCCCAGCCTCGCGCCCTCGTCCCGTCCCCGGGGCCGCCCTCCGCCCGTCCCCGCAACAGCGGAGCCATCCTGGAGAAGCGGAGCTGCGTGACCCGCTCGGGGCTCTCGGTGGGACGGCGACCGACGGCGCGGCGCTGCGCGGTGCCGCTGCTGGGGACCGCCGCCGGCATCGCCGTGCTGATCCCTCGGGGCGAAGGGAGCTGATGCGGGAGGACGGGGGTCCCGGCGCCCTCCTCCAGCATCCCGTGGGATGGGATGGATTTGTCCTCAGCCTTCGGGCTGGCGCTCGCGGCCGGATCCAGGAGGGCTCCAAGCGTCTGCTGCATGGTGGGGGACGGCGCCGACGCGTCGCCGAGCCCGGTTCCTGGCAGTTCCTCGGCCCCCGAGCTGCCCTCCATGCTACTGGGGGGCTCGGACGAGGCACTGCTGCCTAACTCAGCCAGGAGGCCACTGAGCTGGTGGTAAGGGACCCTGGTGCTAGAGGGTGCCACGTCCCTGCCGGCACGGGTGGCAGCGGAGAGGGAGGGCTGGGTGGCAGAAGGGAGGGCAGGGGACAGGCAATTGCAGTCAGGATCTGTCCCCACACCTGAAAGAAGCAGAGAGAAGAGACGGCCGTGGGGTCACCAGCAGGCAGCAGGTCCGAGACGGGGATCCCCCCGCGTCCCCGTGAGAGCGAAAGCCCCGAAAAGGAGAGCAGTAGGGAAGCAGGGAGCAGGCAGGGCCGGACGTGGCAGCAAGACAGAGGTGACAGGACAAGTGGAAGCCCGTCACCGGGTCCCCTGAGCTGGCAGTGAGGGGTTATCCACGATGCAGCATCGCTGGCAGGAGCCGGCCACGTGTGACATCCCCACGGTGCGGTGGTGACAAGGCACAGCCCGGCGCAGACAACACTGAGACATCTCCTCCACGGGCATGCAGACACAACAGCGCGGCACTCAGACAAGCACGGATGGCAACACAAGTCCTGACATCCCAGAGGGCAGAACTCGGCCTCACCCAGCCCGGGGGCATTTGCTCCACAGGACTGGCACTAAGGGGAAACTGAGGCACAGGTGGCAACGTGGCTTGGCCGAGCCTGACACCTCCAGCCATGCGGATGGAGCTGCTTCTCCTCCCAGCGCCCCCACGGCCTCATTCCCAGCCCCATTTCCCACCCCATCAGGGGTGCAGCCCCCTCTCTGACCCCCCTGCACCCTCAGCCCCAAACACGGACACACAGCTCCCGACACAACCACGTGCTGCACCCACACACGTGTGCAGGGCCGTGCACGCACGGCTCCAAGCTGCTCCATGCAGGTGAGCCTGAGCTGGCAGTGCAGAAGGCAGAGCCGTACCTGGAGAGGAGCTGTGCTGCTGGGGCCCCGCACAAGCACTGCGGTACACCTGGCTGCAGTCCTTCTCAAAGGTCTCCTTGTTCTGCAGCAGCTGTTTGATGTCCTGGAAGAACTGCCTCACCAACACCAGCATCTCGTAGGGGGACGTGGTGAACTCCTCGAAGCACATTTCAGAGAGCTGTGGGAGATTGGGTTCAGCTCAGCATCCCGCATCCCACCCGGTGACCCCATAGGGTACCACGCTGAACCCGGCACCAGCTCTGACCCCACAGCATGGAGCCCCACGTGCCCACCCCGCTCTGCAGGTGGGTAACGCCGTACCGCGTGCTCCTCGTCATCCTCCTCCCTGATGCAGGGGTCCACGTTCTCATCGATGCTTTCGTACATCCTGCGCACCGTCTTCATCTTGTTGGCGTTTGTTGAGTTCTCCTTGAACGTCGTCCTGTTCAGGATCGTGCCCAGCAAAGGGAAGGCAGCTTTCACGTAGCAGACAGAGTCATTCTGGGAGGAGATGGAGCCCCACAATGAGAGACTGGATACGGCACGGGCAGAGGGAGCGCCGCTGTCCCGCCCTGCCCTGGGAAATGGAGGAATGGGGACAGCAAATGCATCCCATAGGGACACCCCACAGCCATCCCACCCCCACCCCACCCCTCTGCCCAGCCAGGGGCCGCTCACCAGCTGCATCTTGCTGATGAATCTGAAGGACACCGTGCCGGGTTGTTGCATCTGTGTGTCTGCCTGCAGGGACAGAGCATGGTGTGAGCACGCGGGCGCTGCCCAGCTGTGTGCCCACATGTGTGCAAACCACCCCTAACCCACAGCAGAGGCGCTCCTGCTTCATCCCACACCATCCCCCTCCTCTTCCTAAGGACGTAGCCCCAGTTCTGCTTGGCACTGCCACCCGGGATCCATCAGTGCCCGCCGCCACCTCTCTTTCCCATTACAAAAGGAGGAAAATCCCCCAAACAACCCCACCAAAGCCAAGCCTTCCTCCAAGGCGTGCAGCCGCCTCCGGGCCCGCATCCCAGCCTGGGAGGGCGCAGGCTGCCAGAAGAGCCGTGCAGCACTGGAAACAATTGCTCCATTATCCCACGGGGCTGCAGCGAGGGCCGGCTGCTCTGCAAACGCCGGATGAGGAGAGGGCTGCGATCTCCAGCTGGGAAACCGTGGCTTTCATTCAAACCTGCACCAGCCCCCCTACCCCCCCAACCCCATGCCACGCGCCCGCTTGGGATCCGGGTGGGCTGCAAAGCAAACCTTCCCCGTGCACGGGGCTGCATGGACAGCCCATCTTGCACATCTGCCAGCCCCAGCACCGCCGCTCGGTGCTGCGAGAGGAAGAGGCGACGCGAGGCCGGACGCAGCGGTTACACACAGCGGTTATGAGCTGAGCTCAGCCTAGGATCCCTCGAGCTGTGAGCCCAGCGGTGCTGCAAAGGCCAAATTTAATCTGCTCCGAACGCATCCACACGGCCACACAAATCCCCGCGTGGCCCGATTCCCTGCCCAGAGCATCCACAGCCGTAATGCCCGCTCGGAGGTGAGCCAAGGGCCGGCGTGGGCAGCGCCTCCTGCAGCCCTACGGGGCAGGGATGGGGCCGGGATTCAGCTCCCCATGGTGAGCACCCCATGCCCCACGGGACGCATGCGCCCGTTGTCCCAGCCCGTCTGGCTCCGTGGCCCCCCTCGCTGCCTGCCACCCACCCACAGCCCCGTTGCCAGCCCAGCTTCCAGGCAAGCAGCTGGACTCAGGAATGCAGCCGGATTCCTCAGCTTAACCCCTGCGCAGCCGTCGCGGCCCCAAAAACACCACCACCCCCAAGTCCCCTCTGCTGCATCCACAGCTCTCCCCGCTCTCTGCACCCAGCTCACAGCCACAGCTGCTCCTCTGGCAGCAGCCACGCTGCAGGCATGGTGCCATTCATGTGCCCGTGGGTGCCCGGCTCCTGGGTGCCACCGTTTGAGTCACCGAGCAGGAGATGAACTCGTGGGGCCAGCAGGCGCCCGTCTGCACCCATGGAAGGCACTCACCAGATCCTGCAGGTAGTCCAGGTGCCGCTCGGTGATGATCTGCTGGCAGTAGCTGTTCTGCTCCGTCTCATGGATGCTGCAGATGAGGAGGAGGGAAGAGAGCAGGGTGCAGCGGAACAGGGACACCTGAGCAGGACAGAGAGATGCTTGGTGTGGGGCCGGACCCCCGACACCCCCTTCCTCATTAATCCCAGCTTTGCAGTGTTGACCCCGCTGCAGTCCTACCACCCCACGCCCATCCCACTACTTCCAACAGGGAATTTCCCATTCCCCAACACACGTGGAAGCCACATGGCTCTGGGCCACCCCCATGGGTGACAGGCGCCGTGCCACCCACCTCCCAAAACCCTCTCCCACCCCGCAGACCCCCGCCAGCCCAGCACCCTCAGGGCTCTTTCCACGCGGCCTCTTTGGCATCACCCCAAAGTCCCCTCCCAGCCCCCCCCACAAACAGCAGCAGCGCTGCCCGAGCCCCCCCGTATGCAGAGGGGCTCCTCCGGGGAGGGGACCCAGCAGACCCCACGCGTCCCCACATCCCGGCACCGACAGGGTGTGCGGGGTTGGATGGGTGGGGGCAGTTTCCCTGGGAGCCGGCCCAGAAATGCTCCCGGCTTGTGAAACTGCAGATGTCGCCGGGAGGGGAAGG